ACCCCTACGGAAGAGACGTGGCCCGGCGTGACGACTCTCCCGGAGTTCCGCGCCTACAACTTTCCCGCGTACCTGCCGCAGCCGCTGCTCAGCCACGCCCCCAGGTAGCCCCGCCCCCTACGCCGCTCCCCTGCCCGCCCTAGAGGAATTTGGGCAGCAGCACCTCCCTCTTGCAGGTTGGATACTGACGGCATCAACCTCCTGACCGGCCTCCTCCTGGTGAGTGACCTTCAGGGGTTGGGGATCCAGGCCCCGTGCCCCGCCTGCCCTAGGCCCCAACTTCCTCGGCTCTTGTGCGCATCTCTCCAGATTACTGGCCGGGTAGCTTTGGGCATGTTCCAGAGAACCTGTCTGTGCCTCAGTTTCCTCACCTGCAAGATGGACTGGTGGTGCAAATACACCTAGGTTGTGAGGTGCAGCGAGCCACCTGTCTCGAAGCAAGCACAGCACAACGGGAGGGCAGTTTACCTGCCAGTAGCACCCACACTCGAGTAATGGTCATGGTGGCCTCGCATTGGAACCTTTATCCCTGGAGGGAGCCCCTCCCGGAAGTCCCCTTTCTGCTGGCTGGATCCCTGGGCAGCTGAGGCTGTAGACCGCCTGGGACGGAGCCAGATGGGGGCCGGCCGCTGACCCCAGGGGCTTCTCAAGGTGGACCAGGCCCCTCCCACTTTGGCTGTCTGACTTGTTACGGAGGTTGTGCTGCCCAGTGGGGTCCCCACAGTGCCCAGGAGCCCACCCTGTGTTTGCAGTACGAATCCAAGAGTCGTGTGTCAGCAGAGGCAGCCCTGAGTCACCCCTACTTCCGGTCTCTGGGAGAACAGGTGCACCAGCTCGAGGACAGTGAGTGTCTGGTGGGTCAGGGCCACCCCAGACCCAGGGGTGGGTGAGAGCAGCACAGAGGCCGGAAGCCCAGGTCCCCTGAGCAGCCTCGGCAGGCACTGCCCCCTTCAAGGTTTTCATTTGAACCTCAGGGGGCGGAGTCAGTGGGTCTGGTCTTGACCAAAAGGCTTCCTGAACCAGGCTGCCTCAGCTCCATGGGCCGATGGCAGTGTAGCTCCCAGCCCTCTCCCTGCCCTGCTTCTCTCCCCAGCTGCCTCCATCTTCTCCCTGAAGGAGATCCAGCTCCAGAAGGACCCAGGGTACCGTGGCTTGGCCTTCCAGCATCCAGGTAGGGTCTTGGGGCCCCCGCTGCTCTCCCTGCTGGCAGAGCTGGGCGAGCTGCCTGTCCCCGGTGGGGGCTCCCCCCAGAAGAGCAGACATGGGTCCAGCAGCCTGGCCTGTGATGGGGAGTCAGTGTGGCCCCCCATAGGCAGCCTCCTTGGGGGAGGTTTCTCCACCCCGCCTGACACCGCATTGGCATAGTTCTGGCAAAGGTTCTTTTTCTGGTGCATGTGCCCTGCCCACACTGAGCCCCTGGCCAGTCTGCATCCCCAGAGAACTATCTTCTGGACCAGCCGGTGGTCTTGGACCTGCCACGTGCTTTCCGTGCATTATCTCATTTAATCCTTAGAACGGTCCACAGACTCGGCACCCTTAGTGTTCCCCAGTTCACAGCCTGTGAAAGCGAGGCTCTGAAAGGTTGAGTTACTTCTGGTAGCTTGGAACCCAGGACTGCCCACCTCCTGAGCTCATTCCTTTGCTCACTTGTTCAGAGTGTCTGGGGACAAGTGTCTCTCCAGATCTTGGGCACCTTTCGGCCTGGCTCCTCCCTGAGGTCCCACCTGTTCCCCTCCGTTCTGCAGGACGAGGGAAGAACCGGCGGCAGAGCATCTTCTGAGCGGGGCCCACTCTGCTGTGCCGAAAGGGACAGGAGGTTGCGTGAAGCACACGTGTCGGTGGGATGAGGCCTCTGTGGCTGTGGGAGGACTGAGGAACAAGAGCTGGGCTGGCCTGGAAGACGGCAGCCCTGCTGGGTGCAGCTGTCTCCTCTCCCTGCTTCCCACAACCTCCTGGTGGCCTGGACACCAACCCTCTGTCACCCGCCCTTGGCTGGCATGAGCTGCTCCCCTGAGGGGAGGGGAGGGGCAGGAAGGAGCCTCAGACCTGCACCAGGCCTGAGCGCTTGCGGCTCCTCCTGCACGGAACATCCAGGCGCCACTACGCTGTGGGCCAGATGCGGCCCCACCAGGCTCCCACCTCTCCAAGCTGGCAGCGGCCTCTGCCCCGTGGAGCCTGCACACATTCCACCTCGCTCCCCTGAGAGCAAGATGGGACCTGGCACCTTGTGTGGGACTCGAAGGCTCGTGTTCCCTGGAGCCGCTGGAGAAATCGCAGTCCTGTCCCCCGGATCCCTGCCCCTTCTCCTTGCTGGGGGCCACTTGTGCCCACTGCTGGGGCCAAGGCTGAGCGGCGTGGGGACGCCCAGCTGCCCTGGTGGCCTGGGACCCAGCAGTGCTCTTCCTGCCTCCACTGGCCCTCCCGTCTCCCCAGTCCAGATGGAGTTGCCTTAACTGGCAGGTGGTAGGGTGCACGCTGTCCTTGGAGCTTGACCCAGCTCCTGCCTGTCCGCTTCCCAAGGACTGCTCTGCCTGGCCTATCCCTGAGCACCGATAAGTCAGGCGGGGGCAGGGTCCTGAGAGCGGCACCCAGATATGCAGGTCAGGGTGGCTGACACTGGTGCCAGGCCGGCCTGGCACTGACGTGGCTCCCTGTCCCCTCCTCCCTGCCCTGAGGCTTTGTGCACTTGAGCCTGGCACCAGTGTGCTCAGAGGGTGGTCACAGGAGGAGGCGGCGTGAGTGCCGTGAGCCTGGTGGAGGAAGTGTGATAGGAGCAGGGTGAGGGGTGAGGACCCCTCCTCGGCACCCCCTGTACCCAAGGCCTCAGCCTGGCTGGATCCCGAAGGGCAGAGGCCGAGGGGAGGCTGGGCCTGGCTTCTTCCCCGGGGCTCCCCCAGCCTTCCTCTCCTCCCCCACCGTACTGTGAATGTCCTGTGACTCACACAAAGATAATATATTTAATTCATGTACAGAAAGACGCATGCAGTCTGGTACAGAAACTCTTACTGGTAGCTCCATGCCAAAGATGCGGGAGCCCTGTGGACTCTCCCTGCTGCGTTCAGGGCCAGACGCGAACTGAGAACAAGCCCGAGGTGGGCTGCCCGGCCCAACCTGGTGCCCCGAAAGAGTCCCGGGAGGGGCCTGGGGCCTCCCAGTGAGGGAGGGAGAGGCTCAGAGAGGCTTGGGACTGGAGTGATGGAGACCAAGCAGCGAAGGGCTGTGCGCCCCGCTGTAACCCGGACCCCCACCGTAACTGCTGTGGACCCTGAGCCCCCTCACGCCCCCTTGTCCCCCGACTTGCCCGTGTCATAGACGGGCTTCCAGCTCCCGGAGTCCCGCTACCTCCAGCTCACATCTAGCTCCATTTTCCCAAGACCACTGAAAAGCCAGGCCTCACCCATGCCTCCTGAGCTCCCCGGCCCACCCGTGGCCTCAGGTCAGGCCTTGCACTCTGACTTGCTGGTGTGCTTGAGGGGACAGCTGTTTTGCAGAGGATCCCAGGACCCAGCAATCAGATCCCCCTGTGCCATTAAAGAAGAGGTGAGCCGGGTCCAGTATCCCCTAGACCCCCTCTCCAAAGTATGGGACCACGGCTCAGGTGTGCTTGGGGGGATCTGAATGGGGCTTTTTAACTGAATTTGAACTCCACCCAAAGGAGCCTGTTTATGAAGCTCTGACCTGTGCCAGACGCTGGCCTCATGGAATCTGCAGGAGAACCCCTTTCTCTCCTCTGCATATAAGGACAGCGGGGCCTCAGGGATTGAATAACTTCCCCAGGTTGCGTAGCAACTGCGAGTCCCCAGCCTTGGTCCTCAAGGAGGGGAGCTGTACACAGTGCAGTGCCCCAGGAGGCAGGAAGCAACTCTAGGAAGGGCGTGGGCAGGCAGCTCTGCTGGAGGGGCTGCTATACATGACCGGCAATGAGTTTTAGAGGTTGGGGTCCAGGAGGTAAGTCCCACTGGAAGGCTTACCCCAGACCTTGGTGGAGGTAGAGACGGCTTTGGAAGAGGGAGCAGCATTCAGGAACAACTCCGGGGCTGGTGGGTTGTGGGAGCTGTCCTGGGTTCCCCAGGGACCAGGCTAAGCCACAGCCCAGCCCCATGGCCTGGAGCCCTTGGTTTCCTGCACACCCAAGTCATTTCCAGGTGCCACATGGCCCTTATAAACAGCAGCCTGCCATTCCACCAGAGTCCTGACCGCAGCCCTGCTTGGTGAGTCACTGACCCTCTGGCCTCACATTGGCCGTTGCTCCTGGGATGGCTCAGGAAATCCTGGGGTCCCAGCTGGCCTCTCTGCCATGCCCACTTGGCGGGGGCATTTGTGGGTTGCAGCGGCCCTGTGGCTGCTGCTGAAAGGTCGTATTTGATGACCACCGCCACGCAGAGGTGAAACCAGCTCCCACCCTGGAGTGAGCTGGAGCTGGCTTTCCCAGCCTCAGCCGTCCTGGGTGTCCCAGGCCCAGAGGTCAGGACCCTGTGGGTGACACGTGTTGTGTCTGTGGCGAGGCCTGTCCATTCCTTCCTCTCTGGACAGCTCAGCCAGCCCCCTTTGGCCCACCCTGCCAGAACCTCTGCTCCAATCCCTGCTTCTGTGCACCCCCTGAACCCTCTGTCTCCAGAGCAAGTCCTCAGCCTGGCCCTGTGCTGGACTCCAGGACACTGAGGTGCCGGCCCTCCAGCCCCGTCCAGACTGCACGGAGGACACAGCATGAAGTCGGCCAGTTCCCTGCTCCCCACAGCCTGTGTTCGGGGTGGGGCAAAGTCATCCCCGATCGGCACAAAGCGCACACGTTGGGGTGTCTGCAGCTCAAGAAGCAAAAGAGAGGGGTCGGGGGAGAAGGGAGTGTGCAGGTGGGGGCTGGCGTAGCAGAGGTACTAGTGTGGTCAGAGGCCTCTGGCTGGGCCGGCGGAGCCGTGGCTTCTAAGGGAGGGACCCAAGCGGACAGTCGGGACGGAACCGACAGCGGAGCCCTGCTGGGAATGCGCCGGAAGGGTGAAAGGCAGTGAGGGCAAGCAGAGCAGGCTGGGAAGGGTGGCGGGGAGGATGCACCATGGGGCCGCGCGCTTCGGTCCAGCTTCGGTCCAGCTGCGAGCGTGTAGGACGCCTGGCTCCAGCTCAGGTGGATTCCGACAGATTTTTTTTTTTTTCTTTTTCCACACTGAGGATTGAACATGGAGCTTTGCCCAGCCCTTTTTTTGTTAAATTTCCAGACTGAATTCAAACTTGTGATCCTTCCCCGACCTCAGAGAGTGCTGGAATTCCAGGTGGTACCACCATGTCCCCCTACCATCCGTCCGTAATGGGACCAGGGGCCTGTGTTTCCACAGTTCCGCCTCAGTCCGAGGCGTGGGGCTGTGGCGCGGGACTGTGGCGCATTAGTTGCACGCTTACCCGCACGCACAGGCCTGGGTTAGAGCCCGGCCCAGTGACCCGGCTGTGCTGCCTGCGCTGAGCCCACTGCCGTGTGGGAGCCGCAGTCCCCTTGGCAGGCTCCCAGGGCTCCAGGCAGAGACGGAGCAGGCCTGTGGGTGGCGCCCCGTGCAGCTGTGAGCCAGGGGTTGTCATCCTGGTTCCCAACAGAGGCCCTGGGTCCGGCGACTTGCCTGGCCGCCCGCCGAGGATGGCGGTTGTCCCAAAGCCCGTGGGCCTCCTGGGCAGCGCGGCCTCTACCACACCAGCTGCCCGGGGTGGGGGTGGGGACGCAAGGGTGGCCTTCGTGTGGGGCCTGAAGGAGCTGGGTCCCCTGGCCCTGGGAGTGACTCCCTCACCTCAATGCAAGGCCGACTGCGGGCAGCGGGCACCGGAAGTTGGCCAAGGTCACTGCCCCACCCCACCAGGTGGCCGCTGTCATCACCCACCTCCTCCCTGGACCCTGTCCTCCCACCCTCCGCCATCTGGAAGGGCAGCGGAGCCCCTGTCCCTATCCAGTGCTGTGCACTGATGGCCAGTGTCCAGCTCCCAGGGCAGAGTGCAGCAGCTGCCCTCAGATGCTGGCCAGGCCCAAGCAGCGTTGCCACTGCCTTCCACATTGATCAGTGTTTTCTTCTCCCCCTCCCTTCTCTCTCCTCTGTCTCCCTTTCTAGGGTGCTAGGTACTACTCAGCAAATACCCTTGAGTGGCGCAGACCCAGAAATCAATAACCTGACCCAGCGGGGTGCAGTGGCTGAGTCCTAGCCACTTGGGAGGCTGAGGCAGGAGGATTGCTGGAGCCTAGGAGTATAAGGCCAGCCTGGGCAACATAGCAAGACCCTATCCTATGAATGAATGGTAATCTGACCCAGCCTCCTCCCTAGGGTATTCATCACTAAGACTCCAGAACCTCTGTGTCCACCCTGCCTCAAGTGCCTGAGAAGCTGTGTTGATACCAAGCTTCAGTGCTTGCTTTCTCCTGCACCTCGTCTGCTCCCTGGTGGTGTCCACACCCAGTTCGGAGCCCTGGGCAGGAGGGAAGTGGGTGTGGAGGGTCAGCCCACCCTCTGCTCCTCCACTCGAAGTGGCAGCCCAGTTCCTCAGCCTCTGGTCTGCTGGATTCCTCCTCCCCAGTTTCCTCACCAGGCTCTGAACCCTGACTGAATCCTTCTCCCGGAGCTCAGTGTTGGCCACAGTGGCTTAAGGTGTGGCCTTTGCCCCCCTAAGTTCTCAGTGCTTTGTAAGATTAGCTGTCCGTTAGTCATTCTATTACAACCTCCTGGGCTCCAGATGTAGCCCAGTGATACTGTGCTTCCCTGGTGTGCACAAGGCCCTGGGTTCTGTCCCCAGCACCACACAAATAAATTAATTAATAATACTTAGCTGAAAGGAGATTTACTGAAATTTTGTTTTTGTTTCTTTTGAATACAGAAAATACTTTTTTTTTTTTTGGTACCAGGGATCCAACTCAGATTTTTGAGTTTGCGAGGCAGGCGGTGGAACCACTGAGCCAAATCCCCGTCCCCAGCATCCATGTTAATGGCATCCAGGATCCCCTACAGGAGGGCTGGGCTGACCCTGGGGTTTACGAGTCTTGGGTGTCCAGGGAAACACCAGGCTCCAAAGCCATAGACCCTGATTCTCTCTCCTGTGAGTTGATTCATGTGCCTCAGTTTCCTTCTCTATAACAGAGACAGGGGTGGCACCTTTGTCACAGGGCTTGGAGGGTTCAGGACAGAATGTTCACAAGGGGCCCAAACGCAGCTTGACGTCAGCCCTCTGCACCTCTGTGGCCCTCCCCACTGTGGAAAGTCCAGCTCCCTCTCTCCCCAGGGATCTCGGTCCTGGAATTAAAATTGGAGACCATACTTTTCTTCTCCTTGCATTTTTCAACTATGGTAACACCTCGATCAGCAAGAATGTCTTGAGTACATCCCACCTAAAAGATTTTGCAAGACCTAAAAGGTTTACCTCAGCCAGGTTGTGTGGCTGGAGAAGGGAAGGTGCAGAGGGGACTTAGGACCAAGGCCTTGGTCGCAGGTTTTCTCCGTGGAGTTCAGCTGCCTCCTGAGGTAGGGTGCTCTGTCCCCAGGAGCATTCAAGGAGAGGCTGTGCAGTCACTGGATTCCAAGAGCCCCACTGCAAGTTAGTATACTGAGTCCCCGAAGAAGGGGCAGCTGGATTGGCTCCCGGGCTGGCTCTATTCCTTCAATGTTTTCTTTCTGGGCTTGTAAACCCCCTCCCCCTGGGATTCCAGGGTACCTGGGTCATCGCAGCCATGCCACTGGCTTTGAGGTGAGGTTACGGTAACTTCCAGCCTGGGATTTCTCAGCAGTGTGGAAAAGGACTCAGCTGGGGTTCCCAGCGCCTGGTGTTGGTACAGGTAGGGTGGCACCGTGGGGAGAGGAATGGAGCAGGTCTTAGGGCCCAGCGCTGTCCTGCTTGGGCAGGGGCTTTGAGTGGTCACTCTCAAGCACGTGTGATTCTGTACCACTGAGGTGAAGCTGGGGCCCCCAAACAACAGGCAGTGCATGAAGTGGTCAAGACCAGAGCTCCAGGGCCTGGCTGCTGCTCCAGGGCCTGGCTGCTGCTCCAGGGCCTGCATCCCGGCATAGCCACCCAGCGTAGCTTCTCAGTGCCTCAGTTTCCCCATCTGCTAAACAGGACGATCATAGGATGAGTGTAGAGATCGTGTGGTAGTACAAGGGAAGCGCTCAGAACTCACTGGCTATGTAGAAAGCAGGACACACGTTAGCTGTTGTCATGTCTGTCCCTGAGGGCAGAAGCAGGCATCGCTTACCACCTGCTTCACTGTGAGGGCTGTGACCAGAGGTCCTCACTAGGGGAGGGTGGTATAGGGGGACAGGAATGGCTCCAGCCCCTTCTGTCTGTGGGAGCCATCTGTCCTCCCCACTGCCACCCCAGAGTGGGATTCTGATGTCCCTTCTCCTCACGGCAAGCAAGGTGTGATGAGCTCCATGAACATTACCTAAATCCAGCTTTTAATAAAAAGAAATTGGGGGGGGGGATACCAGGGATCGAACTCAGGTGCTTGTGCTTGCGAGGCAGGCAGCAGAACCACTGAGCTAAATCCCTGGCCATTAAACAAGTTTAATAGACATTAGCTAAAAATCTCCTTGAGCCAAACAGTTCTGAAACACTGGAGTCAGGAGCTCTGGTCAGGGAGAGAGAAGCTGGCTGCAGAAACACCGAGAGTGGCTCCGAGTGGCGACCTCATCTGCCTGGGCGGATGCTGGGTGATAACCACTGAGGAGCCCCAGCCCCCTGCAGGTCACTGGAGTCCCTGCCTGTTTTGCAAGCTCCATAAGCCTGTAAGCCTCGTAAACCCCTCCACCTTCAGAGGACCACAATGTGAACACAAATCCGAATGAATCAGTAGGAATTGTGATTGCCTGATTCACTAGTGAGCCTCTCCCGGACCCCTCTCCTTGGAGCTCTGTGCTCTCCAGACTTGGGTGCTCATTAGCAGCCACAGGGTGCAGCCACCCTGGTTTCTAGGTGCTTCCTGGTGCCCTGGGCTGCAAGGGGCTCCCGAGGCTTCCTGCTCCCCGCCCCACTGTGCAAGGTGCTGAGCTCATGGTGCCCCGGCTCTGACCTCACTGTATACCTACAACCCCCCCTTCCATGGAGGGGCCTCCTCACTCAACCTGGCACTTTCTGAGGTCCCTCACGCCCCACCCAACTCCGGGACTTCCCTTCCACCTCCCTGCTGTGCGCTCCCCAGCCAGGTCACAGCCAGCTTGGCCTGGGAGCCAAGTCCCGGCCCCTTGCTGGGACTCAGAGTTCCTGTCCCGAGGAATCTGCGACCTAGATGTCCTCAGAATGTCCTCCCTGCCCAAATATTACACCAGCTCTCTGTCCCCACTGTAGTATTTTACTGTTTGTTTTCACAGCTCCAGGGATCAAACCCAGAGCTTTGTGCATGGCAGGGAAATGTTTTTCCACCGAGCTACGGGCTCAGACATTTTAGGGTTTCATAGGAGCCATTTCCTCTCCGCCTCCTTTCACAGATGCCTCAAACCCCTTCCTCCAGGAAGCCTTTCTTGACCAAACCCACAAATACCCTCTTACATGCTCATCTACGGGTACCGTGTGGGTCTACACTGACTCTGGTGCCATGAGCCGCAGAGGTTCAGCCCCTCTTATCCCTAGTGCTCAAAATACCATCCAAATATGCACGGCCTAAGTGGAAACAGCTTAGGATAGAAACAGTTTCTGCTTCTACCTAAGCCCTCTGAGCACCCCAGCCAGGATGCGCCCGGTAACCAGACCTTACCCCAGCCAGACAGTCTTGGGATTCTGTCTGCCTGTGGCCTGCGAGGGTGTGTCCGGGTTTTCAGTGTCTGGGTAGAATCGAGTGTACCTGCTTACCCTTGGCCGTGACCTTCAGCAGGTGCCCTGCACCCGTGCTTTACTGGAGTAATCGTACCACTTGGTGAACAAGTTGTTCTTTCATAATTATTGAGATACTGTCCTGCAAGGCAGGGCGTGCACGTTTACCCCAACAGATGGGTGTGGAAACTGAGGCCTGGTGTGGTTTAGCACTTTGCAAATGGTCAGCCAAGCAAGACCTCCCCCAGATGCCTACATCTTCCCGCTTCCCCGCCGCTGCTCAAGTCACTGACTCTGACCTGCTCTGGACGCCAGCTTAAGTCTTAATCTGTTCCTGTGTCAGGGCTGGCAGGGGAGCCAAAATAAGCAGATTTGACTCCTAACCTGATTCATCCAGCTGGCCCGGAGACAGAGGGAGTTTGGTTGCACTCCCACCAC